GACAATGTAGTCGTCTAGGGTTTAGGGTTTAGGGTTTAGGGTCACTTAGGGTTTAGGGTTTAGGGTTTCCTTGGATTCTTTCTGCCTCGTGTGAGACTGCAGCTGCTCTCAGTAGTCACCGCTGACGAGTGACCTGAAGCCCTAAAGCCCAAACCCAAGCCAAGCCCCAAATTCTAAACCCTAAACCCTAAACCCTAAACCCTAAATCCTAAATCCTAAACCCTAAACCCTAAACCCTAAACCCTAGACCCTAAACCCTAAACCCTAAACCCTAAACCCTAGGCCAACAGTATTGGCGCCCTGACTGTCAGTTAGCAAAGCCTCACCAAACCCTGGACCCCTAAACCCTACACCCTAAGCCCCTGTTGGAGCTGTAGGGTTTAGGGCGTTTAGGGTTTAGGGTTTAGGGTTTAGGGGCTTGCAGGGTTTAGGGTTTTAGGATTTTAGGGATTTGGGGTTCTAGGGTTTCAGGGTTTTAGGGTTTTGGGGTTTTGGGGTTTTGGGATTTAGGGTTTTAGGGATTGTGGTTTTAGGTTTTCAGGGTTTAGGGTTCACCCTAAACCCTAAACCCCAAACCCTAAACCCTAAACCGCTGGGTTTAGGGTGTAGGGTCCTTTGGAATCCAATTTTCAGACCCGACAACCGCGATGTCGCTGACGATCCATGTCACGCTTCTCAGCGGCACGGTGACGGCGGTCGAGGCCCAGGCGCGCTTCGTTGCGGTGCCCTTAGCCCGAAACCCAGGGTTTAGGGTTTAGGGTTTGGGGTTCAGGGTTTCGGGTTTAGGATTTAGGGTTTAAGGTTTATGGTTAGGGGTTTTGGGTTTAGGGTCCCCTCAACTCCTTAATGCATCCAAAACCTGAAATCTGAGCTCACTCTAGCAGGGGCCTTAGCCTTCCTTCAGACGCCGAAGCTCTCGGGAGGAAGAGTGGAGTGTTCGGGACTTGACTGCCGCCGCCGCTCGCGTGCCCCAGCTTGCATCCCATGTAACTCTTCCCTGGAACCCAAAAGAGCTAATGGCTACTTAACCCTAAGCTGTAAGCCCTACATGCTAAACCCCAAGCCTCAAAACCCCCAAGCCCTAAACCCTAACACCCGCCATCCTAAACCCGAACCCCTCAAACCCCTAAACCCTAACCCTTAGGACTAAATCCCTGCCAGCCATTGGGGTTTGTGCCGGTGTGGTGTGGGGAACGCTTTGGTGCTCCAGTTCTCGTCCATGGGCCACCACATCCTAGACCCAGAGTCCATGAGCCCTAAGCCCAACTGGTTACTGGTGTTATCCCGAAACCCGAAACCCAAACCCTACACCCTAAACCCTGCACCCTAAACCCTAAACCCTACACCCTACACCCTAAACCCTAAACCCTAAACCCTAAACCCTAAACCCTAAACCCTAAACCCTAAACCCTAAACCCTAAACCCTAAACCCTAAACCCTAAACCCTAAACCCTAAACCCCAACCAAAAGAGTGGAGAGAAACGAGCTTGCGCAGCCCTTTCAAGACCACTCACCCGTTCCCAAGCATCTTCAAAGTCATCAATTTTGTGCTCTTTCGGCCCACCTAGAGTTGGGGTTTAGGGTTTAGGGTTTAGGGTTTAGGGTTTAGGGTTTCGGGTTTAGGGTTTAGGGTGCCAGAGTCCTGAGGCGGCCCTGAAATGAACTCCCAAACTTTTCGAGTCCCCGACTTAAGTCGTAGATGCTGAAGAGCCCTAAACCCTAAACCCTAAACCCTAAACCCTAAACCCTCAGCCCTGCATTCTCCCAGCATCGATTATGCCCTATGACCCCCCAAAAGGGCCCTTAATAGGGTTTAGGGTTTAGGGTTTAGGGTTTAGGGCTACTGGGATGATAAGGCGCAATGGCCCATCCTGCTCTGCACGCCCAAGGAACTTCGCGCTGGGATCAGCAGCGTCTCTGCTGAGTGATCGGTGAGCCAAAGTTCGAAAGCTTACAAAATAGCTTAGGGTTTAGGGTTTAGGGTTTAGGCTTTAGGCTTTAGGCTTTAGGTTTAGGGTTTCGGGTTTCGGGTTCGGGTTTTGGGTTTAGGGTTTAGGGTTTACGGTCTAGGGTTTAGGGCTGGGCGGGGTGCCAATCCTAATGAACCCTTCTTTGCTACGCAAGGGTACCGTAACATGCCCCGAGCCAGGCTTGTGAAGCTAGGGTTTAGGGTTTAGGGTTTAGGGTTCAGGGTTGAGGGTAAATTAATTCTGAAAGTGGCGTGTGTCGTGCGCTGCCGGGGTTCATGGGTAGTTATAACTGTCATATAGTTAAACAAATGTGTGTGTGGGATACATGAAAGCCTACATATAGCACCCACCAACCTTCAAGAACCATTCCTTCCGACAAAATGCCAGGAACCCTCAGCCCTAAACGCAAAACCCTAATTAAGCCCTAAACCCTAAACCCTAAGCCCTAAGCCCTGAACCCTATGAACCCTATGAACCCTATGAACCCTATGAACCCTATGAACCCTATGAACCCTATGAACCCTATGAACCCTAAACCCTGATGACTCGGGGCGATGTCGAGTGGGAAGGAAAGAAAGGCAAAGGTTGCAGACACGTGACCACAATTCAGGCTTCCTCGAGGACCCAGAGTAGCGCCTTGTTTCCCGTTTTCTGGGGCTCAGGTTCCCTGATGAGCCCCTTTAAACCAAAAAGGGATACACCTTTTTAAGTTTTTTGTTTCCTGGGTTGCTCTCTTGTCTGGTTCATCAAAGGTCCGCACATTCCTGCCCGCCAGAGAAGTCTTTCATGTCTGTTTGTTGGGATCCTTATACTAACAGTCCTTACTAGGGTGTATTACAAGGGGGTACTGTAATCCCTACTAAGGACTGCTAGTACAAGGGAGAACAATGTGAGAACAACCCAACCTTTCGTGCTTGTTTGGCGTGGAGAGGATCTGCTTTGACCCGAAGCCCCGAAACCATCCGAAGCCTAAACCCCAAGCCCAAAAATGCTTTAAAGGACTTCCGGCAACCCTGCAAAGCCCGGAGGCCCCCGAACCCCCGTAAGCCCTAAACCCGAAACCCTAAAACCTGAACCCTAAACCCTAAACCCATAAGCTGAAAACCTTTGGACCCAGGGCTTGTCACGGCAGACGGCACAGTGCTGCGGCCAGCAAGCCGCCTCAGCGGCCCTGCTTGAGCATTCAACTTTGTGAGGGATTCAGGGTTTAGGGTTCTCAGGATTTAGGGTTTAGGGGCTTAGGGTTTCGGGGGGTCTAGGGACTCAGGAATGTAGGGATTAGTTTTTAGGGGTTTGGGGTTTAGGGATTTAGAGATTCAGGGTCTAGGGATTCAGGGATTCAGGGTCCAGGGTTTCACCGGCTGACTCGCAACCCCATGAACTCATGTATCGTCAAGCAGGCTTCTACCGCTGGTTTCAGGGTTTAAGGTGTTTGCGGGGATTGAATAAGGGATCAAGGAGGTTTGTCTGGGATCTAGGGTTTAGGGTTAGGGCTTCCGGGGTTTAGGGGTTTAGGGGTTTGGGGGTTTAGGGTTTAGGGTGTTTAGGGTTTAGGGTTTAGGGTTTAGGGTGTTTAGGGTTTAGGGAAGCCCCCCACCCAGGCAGCATCGGCCTCAGCAGCGGCTCTGTGCTGACCGCCGCGCTGAGCGCGCCGAGGATCCCTGAGGGTGCAGGGCTTGTGGGTCCCGAAGCCCTAAACCCTAAACCCTATAAACCCTAAACCCTAAACCCTAAACCCTAAATTCCCATTGGCAGCTCCTCTTTGATTCCTCATCTCCTAGATGCCTGCTTTGGGGTGTCCAGACAGGCAAGGGGCTCTTAATCCCTTGCTGAGTGGTCAATCCCTAAACCCTAAACCCTAAACCCTAAACCCTAAACCCTAAACCCGCCCGCCACCCCACTCTCTTGTCTTTTGGGGTATGCGGGCGCTGGTCGAGCGCTCAGTGAGACCCTGCGAGGGAGCCCCAGGCGGGCGACCGAGCTGGCCTCCAGGGCTTACCCTCCAGGCAGGCACAGGCCGAGTCAGCAGTTGTCACTGTATTATATTATATTACCCTAAACCCCAAGCTGTCTGCGCACCTGGTTGGGTCCTGGCCCTGGCCCTGGCCCTGGCCCTGGCCCTGGCCCTGGCCCTGGCCCTGGCCCTGGCCCTGGTCCTCTGGCCCTGGCCCTGGCCCTGGCCCTGGCCCTGGCCCTGGCCCTGGCCCTGGCCCTGGCCCTGCCTGGCCCTGGCCCTGGCCCTGGCCCTGGCCCTGCCCTGGCAGTGGCCTTGGCCAAAAATGGTTCTGGTTCTGCGCTCTGGCCCTGGCCCCTGACCCGCAACCCTGGCCCTGGCCTCTGGCCTGTTCGAGTCATCTTACCCCCTTGCGCCAAGCCAAGCTGTCCGCGCACCAGTTTGTGTCCTGTTTCGGGGCGCTCTCCCTCTGGCTTTAGCCCCTTCGCGCCAACCCAATCTGTCCCGTTTGCTACGACTTTGTGCCTGGTCCTGACCCTGGCCCGGCACCCCACCTTACCCCCTTCGCACGAAGCCAAGCTATCCGCCACACCAGCCCTGTTTCCGTGGCGCTCTGCCCAACCCAAGCTGTTCACTGTGTGTTCTTCCTGGCTGGAGCCCCTTCGCGCCAACCAAGCCTCGCTGCCTTTCTCTGTTCCTGGCCCATCCCTTAGCCCCTTCGCGCCAACCCAAGCTGTCTTCACGGACCCTGCCTCGTTTCCGTCTGCTGCAGCTTTGCGCCTGGTCCACGCACCTTGTGGAAATCCCCAAAAAGGGCGTGAGTGCTGACTCATGTGATGCTTTGTAAAAAAAATAAAAGGTCTTAACTCCTAAGTGGGCGGTCTTGGGGTGGGTAGGTCTGCAGACTACCGCGCGCTCCCAAAGCGCGCTCCCGTCTGGCACGCCCTAAACCCTAAACCCTAAACCCCTAAACCCTAAACCCTAAACCCTTAAGTCCCTATCTGCGGCGTTTCCCCGCATCCCTCGGTTTCCCCGCCACCACGCAGGTTCAGTGCGCTGCTTCACTACAAAGCCCT